AATTTCAGCCTCGAGCAGCCAAATTTTTTCAACCATCTTATTTTAAATGGAAAATTATCAATTTAAACGGCTCCGAGTGAATTTTTTTCTTGTTAATTTTGAAAAAGAAAGGGAACTTTACACTTCGAGTTTCGAAATATTTTGTATGCCCAGATTTAAATGGATCATTTTTCGGCGCATCAGTCGTACACATAAGTATTGTCTGCTTAGTTACCGCTTTGTTTTGTATTAAAATGCTAGGTTAAGGCCAAAGATTTTCTCTCTTGGCATGTTTTTTTTCTGAAATGATTCGAGACTATTTGTGATATGTAATTTTGGTAGATGTAGTTTTTTATCATCTTTTTAAAGCTCCGATGCGGCATATTTTTTGTCGGCTAACCGGCCATGCAGTTACTGTGATGTATGTTAACATTAGGGTTAACCAATTGGCAAAGCGATGTAAAGTTTTGAACTTCAATCCTTCCATATTGAAGAATTACCAAGAATTACCAAACATAGATCCCAGCTACCCCCCCCCCCCCCTGGATTTCCAATGTTACATCAAATCTTATGAATAAGCTGAAAACAATGAAAAAACGAAAAAGTGTAACTCTTAGCAAATTGAATAAACTCAAACGCCTTGAAAAGCAAATCTAATTTGAATCCGAGAAAGACCTCGCTGAATATGAAAAATCAGTATTTGAAGGGAGAACGTTTAGTTAAATACAGAAATACTTGAAATTTATACGAAAAACACCCTCAATTCCCCCAACAGTAAATTTTAATAAAACAGTAGCGTCAATAAATGATGAAAAGGCTGAAGTTTTTAATCAATACTTCGCGTCGGTCTTCAGTAAATCTAATATGCAGCCTGGATATGAACCAAATAACATACTAAACACAGCTAACTACACTGAAGAACAAATAAGCGACATATTGTTTGAACTTAATCCTGACAAATCAACTGGACCCGATTAAATTGGAAACACACTTTTAAAAAAGTGTCACAAAACCCTGTGTAAATCACTAAAACTGATCTTTCGAACATGAATAAACAAGCAATGTTACCCCAGCTACTGGAAAACATGCCAAATAACACCAATATTCAAAGAGGGCAACAAAGCTGATGTAACCTGCTACCGTCCCATCAGCCTCCTATGTTGTTGCTCAAAAGTCTTAGAAAAACTCCTTTTTGATAAAATTTATTGTTTCTTTCATTCAAAACTCCACACTAGTCAACACGGCTTCAGAAAAAGACGATCGGCGACACTGCAACTAATATACTTTCTCGACAAAATATACGAATGCAATGATATTGAATCTGTCAATGAGTTAAGTGTTCTTTATCTCGACTTTGCTAAAGCGTTTGACACAGTACCGCATAGTGTGCTAATTAGCAAATTAAGGTCTCTTGGAATTAGTGGAAACATCTTAGGACTTCTCAAATCATACTTAAGCCAACGCAAGCAATACGTGCAAATAAGCGGCGCAAAATCAACCCTAAGAAATGTAACCAGCGGTGTTCCCCAAGGATCAATTCTGGGTCCCCTCCTCTTTTTGCTATTTATTAATAATCTTCCAGTGTGTATGTCCGATATGGACAGTTTCGGGTATGCTGATGATTTCAAAGTAATCGTAACAAATCAAGTAGCGATGAACAAGGCGACCGATAACATCCAAACCTGGCTTAATACAAATATGATGCTACCAAACACAAAAAATTCGCATACTCTTATCATCAAAGGAAACCTTGAAGCACACTTATGCAATGCCAAACTCATCCCCGTACAGTCGCAACGTGACCTAGGGCTCATAGTGCAGCAAAACCTAAGTTGGAATGAAAATTGCAAACGCAGATCGAACACAGCAATGGGCGCCTTATTCCAAATAAAGCGAAATCTAACATCAAATTGTAACTGGAGAATCAAATTGAATGCATACACTGGATACGTTGTCCCAATTGCTGTATATGCTTCTCATACATGGTTGTCAAATAAAGGAAATTTAGCAGAATTAGAAAAAGTTCGACATCATGCAACAAAATGGATAATAGTTTCTGACTTAAGCTATCGAAATCGGTTAATTAAATTGCATATCCTTCCGTTAAGCCTGTATGTTGAAATGCAGGATCTCTTAATGCTTTTATCTATTAAAACAGGTGAATTTGATGTTGAAAGTTCAATTGAAAATGTGACAATATGCGATAATACTCGACAGAGCAATCGAGGTGAATTCAAGTTATCGAAACCGCGACTGAATAAAACCAACGGAAAATTCTTTCGAAGGACGAAACTACTCTACAGCTATGTTCTTCGCGTTTATAAAAGTTTCGGGAAATTTCTAAATAAAGCTACTACTAGAACATTTACTGGAACTTTTTCACTAAACAATACACCGAAGAAAATAAATGTACTTGTAGAGTAATATGCAGATGTGGCAACTGCAATCCTCTCAGTAAAATAAAACTGAACTGAAGATGAACTAAAAAATGGGTGAAAACCCTTGAAACTCTCTAAATTCTGTTTTATTATTATTATTATTATTATTTTTTTTATGATTATTATTTCAATAAGTGGAGTTGTTTTATCAAACAATTCTAATTTTCTAAGAAAAGCTACATATATCATTGAACAGTTTTGTGCAACGTCTATTCTGCTTTACCGAAGCAGTCTGAGAAGAGTTACAGCGGCTTAACTAAAGTTCAAACGTAGTCCTGTCTGTTTGTTTATGTTTTTAAATGGGCGCAAATTTCGTAGTTGGTGGCGGAAAGGAAGTGACTTTTGATTAGAAGTTTCGTTTTGAATAACTAAGTTGTGAGAATTTTTGTCTTGAAAGACAGATTTAATTTTTATACAAGCATTCTTGCATGCGTTTTGTTATACAGTCAGTTCTCGTGCTTTCCTGGGGTCTGGCGTTAGAAAGATAAGAATGGCAATTAATCGAATAGTCGGGACGTGGGACTCAAAATCTGAAAGTAGTGTTTTTGATCCGTGCAGGATTATTTTTGCTTTTAAAACTATAGTGTGGCAATCAACGTTGTTAAGTTGCTTTAAATGTCGTGATGATTTGTTCTTTTTCAGGACTTTTTCGGAATTTTGGATTGACCTTGTTTTCTTTTAGTTGAGTTCATTGCCTTATTTAAAGCAAGGCAAATTCCATGTAGCTTTAGTGTCATACAGTCAGTCCACTAACTCGGATATATTGGTGCTCAATTAAAAGCATCAAAACATAGTTTGAGTATTTATGATTTGCTCAATTCTTTTTTGGTGGCCGGTGTTTTGAAGTTAGCAATGGCATATAGCCGAATGTTCAAGACACGAGACTCGAAACCGGTAGGTAGCAGGTTTGAACCTGTAGAAATTTTTTAAAGATTAGTTTTTTAAAGCCTTGTGTTCTTGATGCAGCAAAAGTGCTTTGTTACTGGAGTTTGTATTATTTTATGAGTCTTCATATGCTAAAAAGAAATTTACATTTTGTGGAAGTATTCATACTTCTTTTAAGCAGAATGAGATGAGATCACATAGCTAAAGTATTCTTATTTCAGTTGTCAGGCACAAAAGTTTTGCTATTACGCGAAATGGATTACCTTACGAGAAACAATTTTCATCATAAAATTGCTTTTGAAATTCCATCAAAAATCACATATAATACGTATGGCCAATTTCAAACCCAAGTTTAATAAAGAGACGGAGTTTTTAAAGTTTTCATACTTTTTATCGGGTTAAGTTAGTCTGATCGATTCTGGATATATTTAATAAAAAACCTTGGAGCTTCGTTTAAAAATGTGAAATTTTTTTTCTAAACTAGCAGAAAAAAGCTAAAGCCCAATCGGTCAAAGCCGGTATTTTTTGTTTTGAAACTAGCTGTTTCAAAGGAAATTGGCTGTTCATGACTGATATTTTTTTTTAGAAAGAGAATGTGCCTCTTATAGTTTTCGGGAGAGATCTTTGAGGTTTTTTTGCAAATAAATCAAGCATCGATTGGCTGGTTTTGCTTAACTATTTTTCTCTGAATTAGTTTCAGGTCTGAATTTTGCTGAAACAATTATACCATTAGATATCTGGCGGATATTTAAATCTCAGAAGTTGAACAGATTTTCTAAAGCCAGCCTATTCCGTCTAAAACGCTATCAAAATTCTGGTGCTCGAATACTGCTGTACGAACACTTTTGCTATCTGACTTTATATCCGCTGCATCAAAACTTGCATGATTACATAGCTAAACTAATTAATGAAGCAGTCTTCGAGCACGAAAACTTGAACGCGTTATACACGAAATGGGTTGCCTTGCGAGAAAAACTTTCACATAGTAAATGTCGCTTTTGAAACGCCACACTTATTTCAGAGAATTTTTTTTCAGGATTTCGGTCAATGTGTAAGATATAGTCACGCATTATGCTAAATCTTTGATTTTTGATCAACATTTTCGATTTTGTTTTTGCGTAAAAAGAATTCTTTGGGTCTCTCAAAAATCTAAAGGCACATTTTCTTTCAAGCGATAAAAAATTAGCCTCGAGCAGCCAAATTCATTTCGAACAGCTATTTTTTTTAAAAAAAAAATATTAAATTTAACGGCTCGGAGCTGAATTTTTTCCTGTTAATTTTGAAAAAGAGAGGGAACTTCTACACTTCGAGTTTCGAAATATTTTGTATGCCCAGATTTAAATGGATTATTTTTCGGCGCATCAGTCGTCCACCTAAGTATTGTCTGCTTAGTTACCGCTTTGTTTTGTGTTAAAATGCTAGGTTAAGGCCAAAGTTTTTCTCTCGGTATGTTTTTTTCTGAAATGATTCTTATTCGAAACTATTTGTGATATATAATTTTGGTAGATGTAGTTTTTAAAAAAATTTTTAAAGCTTCGGTGCGGCATATTTTTTGTCGGCTAACCGGCCATGCAGTTACTGTGATGTATGTTAACCTTATCGTACGAATACGAATATAAGATGTGTAAAACAATATTTTAGTGAAAAAAATTGCTATACGTTGTATGAATCACAAGCAATACATTCGTTTTTTCCCAGTGTACGATGTGACTTCGCGATCTTCGTTCGACCAACTGGGCGTGTGGCTGCGGGAACTGGACATGTACTCAACGCACTCTAATGTGGTGAAGATGCTAGTGGGTAACAAGACAGACAAGAGCGACCGAGAAGTGAGCAGGGAAGAGGGCTTGAACTACGCCAAGAAACATTCCATGCTTTTCATCGAAGCATCCGCCAAGACCAGAGAAGGAGTTCAGTGCGCATTCGAAGAACTCGTCGATAAAGTTCGTCTTCTGCCTTTTCTGATAACTTATAAACAATAATAAGAGGTAGTTCTAAAATGAAGTGTGACAAATACTACGCTCACCAAAATAACTTTATCTGATAGAAGTCCAATCAAGAGCGAACGAGCGAAGTGAATTTCTTTTTTTCTAGGTCAATTTGTTTGAGCAAATTTCCTTTATTTTGTCTTGCAATGGGTTTTAGTTTTCAGATTTACCGGCGGTGCAAAACTTTCATAGCTCCAGTTTTTTTAAATTGGCTAAACTTTATTAAACAGGGGTCAATCATTCTATATGTGAATTTCAACGAGCTTTGTAACTCCATCCTCCGTTCTTTAAAAAGTCAGGCACTTTTTGCATCCTCTAGTTACACTTGCGAAGCATTTTTAATTTATCAAGTGAACCGAAGAAAGCTATTTGTTTCAAACAGAAAAACAATAATAAAATCTCGATTTCAGAAATTCTGTAACTTAATTTATCTCCCCCTTTTTTATATGCATAATTTATACAAAATGTGGCTGTATGATTTGCGATTTTTTACATGCAAAGTTGTATGTTTTTGTATTTGATGCTACTTTTGCTGCATCCAATTGGCAATTTATTAGCATATGTAGCTGCATTATTGTTGGCTATTTTTTGGTTTTTTAAGCATCCGTAGCTGAATGGTTAGTGCGTGAGACTCAAATTTGCCAGGTAGCAGATTTTTGCAAATTCGAGGCTTATTGCTATTTTTTTGTAATTAACTTGATAGCGCTGATTTTTTTGGTCGTGTTCTCGTAAGTGTTTGCGAAGCGCAGCTTCATCTCTGGTTTAAATATATATTTTTTCCAACTGTCTTTTGGGTATGCTTGACCTTTTTGTTCTACGCAATGCTTGAACGAACCTTGATCGATAGTCTTTTAGGTTTTCTAAAGCCGCATTTCAAAACTCGCTGCCAGATCATGTTTCATACTTTTTTTTGAGTTTTCTTTGGTTGCAGTGCAAACATTTGAGGTGGTGTTGGAGTAATTTCAATAGAACCATATTTTGTTTAAACCTAGTAGACTTTTTGGGCTGTCGAAGAAATTGAATTTCTACGATATATGTCATACTGATATGTTAGTTCGAGCTCATTTAGTTTAGCGAAATTCAATCTATTAGACCCCGGCTTTTGACTACAACCCATACATCCTCTGAAAACTTTCAAAGCGCACTTTCTGAATCTGATTTAAAAATAGGTTAAAATTGTTAACAGAAGAAAGTTTGTTTTCATCATTTTCATTTACGATATGCATGATCTACCGGACTCTTTTAGTTGTTTTTGTTAGGCCGATGACATGAAATTATAAGCAACAGGATCTGATTTAAAGCGAAACTTTCCAGACAATATAGATGTCTTAAACTTAAGGACGTCTGATAATCAACTGAGTTTCAACGCTGAAAAGTTTTGTTTCAGTATTTCAATGCTGCTGATTATCCGAAATTGCCATTTCATCAAGATAATCGCTACCAGGGTGTTTACATGGATGGTTACCGTATTGTACTCTCATAGAATATTTTAACCAGTTCATCAACATATCCGCTTTTTTAGCACCATCATATTAGGCCTCAATTGCTATCGCTTTGATGAGTATTTTTTGCCTCAAAACGTCGCAGGGGAACCTTTGAGGTACTCAGATTCTTCAACTGAAGCATTGGTATGTGCACAAGCAGTTGACAAAGTCGTCTTTTTTCAGAGTTTTTGATTGTTTCAACGATTCTGTCCAATTAGTCAACATCAAAATAATAGACCCGTCGCCAAGCTTCAAGCGTTCAGTTTGAATCTCGCTTCAGGGGCACTCCAGAAGCGTATATAACCTGCAAATAACTTGTACATTGTACTTGAAGTCCCGATGCTGCTCATGTGTTTGCTAAACTTATCAAGTAACTATCTGTGAAGTTTTTTTTCCAGGTTTTCGCTGTTTTTTAATCATTTTTTACTTTGTGCATGAATTTGTACTCCCATTTGAGTAATTGAAGTCTTTTACTACTAGTACTAATACTCATTTCAGAAACTAGAAGTTTTGAAGAAAGATTCAATAGTGTACAGCCCGTTTCGCTAGACTACAAATTCATCCAGGTAACTCATGGCTCACAGAATTGACCGAAGTTTGCTTTGACGCGGGACCAGTACTACCCAAGGTGATTGGTTGAATTTTCGGCTTCTGGGTTGATTCAAATTTTCCGAATGATTTTTCGAGTGTTGAAATCCACTCAAAACTTATTCTCTAAGCAGCCTTATCGTTCGAAGCGGCGGGCGCCTTGCTTCACACATAGTTGAATCGAAGGTATTAATTTGTTGCGGTTTCTTCTATTCACGAGTTGTTTTTTTCCTATCTTCCTGCATCTACTGTAAAATTCAAAAATCTATACTCGAAGGGAAGCCTTTACACGCCGGATATTGTACGTTTGCCAGAAGACTCTTGAGTTCATGAGTCTTTTCGGTATTGCCGACTCAACTAGCTTTATGAAAAACAGAGCTAACATCAATGTTGATTCAACAAAGCGCTTCCGCACTTACTGTGCATCTTCAGAGTATCTATCGATCTGAAATGGTAGACATCATCGCAAACCAGCTATAAAACAACTGCACTACGAAACAATTACAAACCTCGCCAATACGAAACTGGGACAAAGAAAATTGTCGGTCAGTACAGGCGGCGACAGCTAACCTAGTCTTCTTTCAGTTGTTGGCCCTGCAGCTTTTGAGTTTTTCTATAAAAACTGTATTAATTTTTTTGAGTGATAATTAACTAATTCTCAAAAAATTACTGAGTAATCGATTAAATAAATCATTGATAATTTGTTGTTTAATACACTTGCGAGAGTAAGTGAATTGTAATCAGAACTTGTTTTTTTCTCTTAAACAACTTTTTTTTTACAAATCTCGTTTTTTTGTTCTTTTTTTATTGTTTTCTCTTTATAAATGTTAAAATTATTTCGAACCTTCAGGTTTTTTTCCTACTTGGTCTAAAATCTGGGGTTTGAGACTCGGTCGGACCTTGTTTTTTTTCAGTATGTACGCAATTGAGAAAAATATTCAATTAAAATTGAGTTTTGATTGTCTGCTCAAGTTTTGTCGGCTTAGTTGCCACGTCATGGATTATGCTTGTGCTGTAAGCAACTCTCATGGTAGTTGCAATTACAATTGTTGCTGATTTTAGTTTAAGGGGGGCTTGGAGCATTTAAAAAAAAATCTGCTCATTGTTGTCTGCTTGTTGTCTTGTTGTCTGCTCAAATGTTGTCGGCCTAGTTGCCTAATCAAGGATCTTTCTTAGGCTGTAAGCAACTTTCATTATAGTTACATGTGCAAGTGTTAATCATTATAGTCTCAGGTGCGAGTTAGAACTTGAATTCTTTAAATCATTTTTTCGGCTCAAATTGTGTCTGCTAAAGAAGATTGTCAGCTTTGATTCCTCCACGTAAATTTTTGATTCCGTTGTTTTATGATTATATTTATGTACGTATGTGTGCGTATAAGTGTGATTCCTTTTCTCTGAGTAGACTATACAACGAAATCAGACTTGGACAGCTGCCTCCAGCATGGGTGGCCATGGTGCTGATGTTGCATCCATTTTCCCACTCGTAATTGACGAAATCAGTTGCCTCAAAGACATTTGGGTTTTTTACTATGTGAATCTAGATCTGACAGATCTCATAAATGCAAGTTTTTGGCGCACACCCATATTTATACGTCGGTAATATAGTTTCTTGGAAATAATTTCAAGCGTCAATAATTACTGCGCTGGGAGTTAAATCCAGGACGCTTTAAAATTTTGTTGTACGCTCCATTCAATCAACTACTTATTCGGTTTTGTGAAAACCTCGTTGAATAGATAAAACGTCCATTAATTCCGTATCAATGCGTCTTTTAGCTGTTCACATTCTACTGACTTAATTCATTCTAGTACAGGCAGATTTCTTGCTTTGAGATAGCATTCATATTTTGATTGAAAATTGTTACCGTTTGAAAGCGTTAAAAAAAATTTGAAAGTTTTTTTTGTACATTGGTAGCTTGAATTTTAGTTTCCACCAAATTTTTTTCTCAGATTGAAACTCAGGGGATTTAGGGAGTCTTCTTAGTTTTGAAAAATGGCAAAGATCTAGGATTATGAACGTTGATTTTTGCCACTAATGATGCCAAAATGAAATTTCTGGAATCTGACATACAGCTTCGGAGAGTTTTAATTTTGCTTCGGCTGCGAAATAAATGGGATTTGGAAGTTGTTTGCTCTCTAGGTTTTCTGATTATTTATCGCTTGGTTTCCACAGCTTTGTTTTATTCTTAAAGTCTTCCGAAGAGATGTAGCGTAACTCAATTTGGGTGCTGCATTTAAAGTCAAGTCAGTTTCTGCGTTTCGAGCAATTTTCCCAGAAGCATTATAGTTGCATGTGCATGTGTTATTCATTATAGTTTCAGGTGCGATTTAGAACTTGATTTCTTTAAATCGTTTTTTTTTCGGCTCAACTTGTGTCTGCTAAAGAAGATTTTCAGCTTTGATTCCTCCACGTAAATTTTGTTCCGTTGCTAATTGATTATATTTATGTACGTATGTGTGCGTATAAGTGTGATTCATTTTTCTCTGAGGAGATTATTCAACGAAATCAGACAGTGTTGCAATTTGACCTGTGTTCAGATCATCCAGACACCTGGTCTGTGGGAAGCAGACGAGAATATGAGAGGAAACCGGAACAGGAGTGGACTGCAGTTGAACGGAGCAGACAGGAACTCACAATATGGAGCAGGATACTGTGGCAGCTGCTGATAATACGTTCAAACTCACTCATCACCTCAGAAGTTTGCATTTTAACAGAAAGGCTGCTTTTAAACCCTTCCGCCTAAATTCGTGCAAATAATCTGTTAAAAATATTCTAGTTTGTTCTTGTAATTATAGAACTAGGTGCTTTCCTCGAAGTATTTTGAAGTTTAATCGATTTTGCCGAACCAGAACAAATTAAGAAATCGGAATTCTTTTGTGGGATACCTTTTTTCAGATTGAAGCTTTCTGTGATTGAACAATTGATGTTTTTAAAAGAAGTAAATGTTGAGTTTGTTTAAAAGAAGCCAGAATGTTGATTTTGAACTCGTTTCTATAATAGATTAATTTTCTCAGATTTAGTTGTAGATAATCTCAACTGTCAATTATCAGTTATCATTTGCTAGTTTGGAGATGTGGTAGATTAAACTTGTTAACTAATAAATACTTTTTACATTTATTGAAATTATACAATTGAGAACCAATCTTTTCCTTGCGATTTGTGAAATTAAGTTCGCAAACTTAATTCACTTGATTTATTGGAAGGATTTTAGTACCGGTTTGGCGGCTATTATTCAATTGATTCCAGAATTTACTAGGTTTTAATGGTTTTCATAAAATATTAAGAGTCATGAACCTCTTTTATAGGTCTTGGTGATTTTTTTTCTAATCAGGGAAAAAATTTCAACGCTACAATTTGATTTTTCGCGGTTTGACATTTGATTCCTTTTAAAAGTTCTATCTGTTTTCTTTTTAGAAGGAACGAAAACTGCACTATCAAATAGCAAAAGTGTAAAGGTTACGAAAAGCGGGATCGACCTCTAGTTTCGAAAGTTGATTTTAAATTCAGATTTTTCAACCAAAAATAAACCTTTTGATCCCGAAAATAAAATTAACCTATTGATCCATTTCTGTTCAAATTTGTTTAATTTTATTAAACAATGTATATCTCTAATTGTTCTTGAAAATTAAAGAGCTGTAAGGTCATATATTTTTTCTTTGAAATTCAATGTTAGATTTTTCAAAAAACAAGTCTGTTTTTTTCTCTATTTCCTTGCGTTCATGACTTTTTCGATTTGTCTGGTGCTTATCATTTAGAAAAACCGATTTTAGAATCATATTTTTGATGAAAATTGCGAAATCAAGTGTCTTGTAATCGGGAACAAGACTTTTTTCCGGTACACAACTGTTCTTACCCATTTGTAATTGAAGTTGGTGCTCCTTTTTTTCGCTAAGCATTTTTTGTAAGCTTGTGTTGTTCTTATCTTTTTTTCCAACTTAAGTCGCAGTGTGTTCATTTTGAAAGTGTTCGTTTTGATCAAAAACCAGCTTATAAGTACAGCCAATGCTAGGGATATTAACACCGACTGTTATTGTTCCGACTTTCATAACGAAAGTAACGGAATATTTGAGCCTGGGGTGGTTTTTTTCTTGACAAATTTCGAATTTTTAGCTAGCCATTTTTGACGGAATTTTTTATACCAATCAAAAGGCATTGTTGTCCTGAGCTTAAAATTGAAAAGATATTTCACCTGTGATCCTTTTTCGTAAATCTATGGGGGAATTAAAAATTAATGCGCGATATATTTCGGGCTATTAATGCTTAAGCGGATATTTAAACTGTCTTAGAAATAGTTCCAAATCGGTTGAAAGAAGCTTTTTTGCCATAATTGATTCGTTATTAGGAGCGAAATTATTTATCTTTCTGTACTTTTAATGGCGTGTGGGGTGATGATTTTCACAAAAATCTCAAATTAAAAAAAAACAATTCGTTTTATTTTAAATATTATTGAGTTATTTCATGTTATTATTGCTCCATAGACCTTAAAAGGCAGTCAGAACATCCAAGGCTTCGCCCTGATACGAGCAGTTTTGTATTACAAATAGTTTTTTAGCTTCAAGGTATCATGGATCTGTAGCGTTGAGGTAGGGAGGAGACCCGCAACAAAATAAGAGGGTCGAATCTGGACAGGGTCAGATGTTTTGAAGGAATTTTTTCGTATACTAGCTAAATTGTGTCCGCTCTATAAATTGAGGTAATTGGTATTTTTTTTTCAAATTGACTGGTACTGCTAATGCGTCGAATTGGCTTGTGTCGCTTAAGAAATTTTGTGTACTCAAAGTTTTACTCTTCAGTTTTTCCCAGCAGCGTTATCGGTCATATTTTTGCTTCTGTATGCGAAGTGCAACTTCGCCTCTGTGTTAAAATTTACTATGCTTGACTGATATATTGACCGATTTTTGTTTTATTCGGGACGAAAAATTTCCGCTCGATTTAAGGATAGAAAACGATTATTCTTCTTTTGATTAAATCGGGTCGGTTGGTAGTATATAAATTTAAAATTCAATCGCTCAAAGTTTTTAACACCCAGATCTTTTGGAATTTTTTGTTTTCGGATCAATTGGGATCTAACCACGTGTTTTTTGTCTCAGTGAACGTCGGAAAATACCCAATGCTTATTTAATGCTAGTGGCTATGTTTCTCGTCTGTTTTTTTGAGGATGAAGTTTTAGTATTTCCGACAAAATAGTTGGTTTTTTCAAAGGTTTTTTATCTTAGTTATTTCATATCACTGTCTTTTTAGTTTTTGTTAGCTTGCAATGCTGCGCTTCCGCTGTTTCACAATTGATGCGAAGCTCCGCTCCGCCTCCTCTGTTTAATTTTTGCAAATACTTTTTAGTTTTTTATTCGATTTGATAATATAAGCAGATTGAAAAATGTTTACTGATCCCGTTTTCATCAATGCTTGAGGAGCTTTATTTTTTGAAAGTTTAATTAAGTTATAGAAAACTTGATTAATAAATGCTTCATCAAGTTTTCGCTGAATGTTGTTATTTATTTATTGTATTTTTATCTTAGCAACTGCACACGTGTAGAACATCTTAAAGGCGTGGTTTCCGACTTGCAATTAAATGTGTTCCACAGGGATCAGTCCTAGAAACTTTTGTTATCTATCTTTAAATTAATGATCTGCCTTTGACATGATACCACTGGATTTTTTGTTCATAACACACCAAAAAGTCCTAAAAACGTTCAAATTGTTTTTTTGCGGTGAAGAAAGTTGGTCAAAATAGGGTCTTTATCATGATGTGGAAGAGCTCGGAACATCAATTTAGTTAATCCAAAAAAAAGGTCGACAAATTTTTCAATTTTTTTGAACTCTTCGTTCTCCCCCTCTGGAGAAAATACTAGATCAGCCCCCCGTAGTTATGATTATTTGTTTTTTGGGAGCAATTCTTCATGCTCGGTTTATTTTTCTCGGCTTCAATTTCGGTTTCTTTTCAATAACGTTTGTTTTCTAGGGAAGCCAAATACCTCTTTCGAACAAATCAGCGTGAAGGTCATGAAGAACGAGCGAATTCTTGTATCTGACCTGGATTTTATTTGACAGATTTCCCAGAGGAAACGAAAAACAATCTTTTGATCCCCCTTTATCTCGAAGATGAGTTGTTATTGGAATTCAAAGAGCTTTACGGCCATATGTTGTTTTCTTTGAAGGTCGAAAGCTCAATTTTTTTTCAAAAGAAGACGTTATGTTTTTCCTGCTTTCTTGCGTCAATTGACAATAAGTTTTTCTACGTTTCTGTTGCAGATAATTATCTCTGCGATAAGAAAGGTTATTGCAATCGGGTACTAAACTTTTCCCTTAATAGCTTTCTTTGTTCACAGGACTCACCTGGACTCCTGGTGGTACCTTGGTTCTTGGTTCAATATCAATTCAAATTTTCTCCTGCACACTTAGCTTGGAGGTAACGAAGAGGCCTGAGACGGCAAAAGTACGGTGTTCGAGTCCACTTAGGTACTGCTTTTTTCAAACACTAAATATTGCGGTTCAAAAAACATTTCTGCCTATTAGTTGTCTGTTTTGTTTTTTTTCGGCCTAGTTGCCACCTCTAAGAATAGTTTTTTTTGCTTTAATCAATTTTCACTGTAGTTGCTTCGAGTGTCTTAGCTTTTTCGAAATCCAGCCGAATCGAAATTGTTAAATCCAGCCGCTTGGTATTGTTAAGTTCAAAGTCAAACAACCATCTGGCGTAGAGGTAATACAGCTGCTTGAGACCGCAAAGGGTTGCGGTTTGAATCCGGTGGGATCTGTTTTTTTTTGCTGACTAGAGTTCTCTCGCTCCCTCTTTCTCTCACATTAACTTGATCCAGTGTCTGGGGTGCATCGGTACTTTTTGGATTTCGCAGTCTTTTCCAGATTACTCAAACAAGCAAAGGTTATATGCTTTACTCTCCTGTTGTCGGGCATTTGTATCTTGTGTCCTAGCCGCTCCATACTTCGTTTCTCAATTTTCATTCTGCTAGATTTTACTCGAAGTTCTTTTATCTTATTCCATCTGTTTCTGTATTTTCGTTCCATTTCTTTGTGGCGCTTGATTCTTGGAACTCCACACATATCGATAGCATTTGTCCACTTTAGTAAGTATCTTGTTTTTTTTTTCTGATACTGTTCATGTGCGTACTTCGCAATTGAACAACATGGTGCTTCCTACTGCCGCCCCCATCACTCGTACTTGCGTCCTTCTCGTTATTCTTGTGTTTTTGAGGCGTTTTTCGACCTTGATCCATGCCCCATCCCGCGTTGGATGCGTTTTTTATTATATTCGGAATCACCTAGCCACACGCCAAAGAATATGGTCGTTGCCGCAGTTTTTGCCGAGTGCTATGTTTTCCTCCTTCGATTCGTTTGTCTTCTCCTCGAAGAGGCCCATTAATAATTTGGTCGTGTTTCTCGCGTCGTCCATGCTCCCCTTGTTACTCACAAGCGTAGTGTCGTCGGCAAACAAGGTGTTCTTAAGATTTAAATGTTTTGCTTCAGCATTCCCTCTATCCCTTCGTTGAGTAATTCAGGTGTTGGGTATCTACGAGATCTTTGGCCCACTATCTTTACGCTGCTTTTAGGCACCTATCGTCGTAATCAAATCAAAGATATTAAAAATTATAGGAGAAGAAGGACATCCTTCCCTCGATCCTCGTTGCGGTGTTCATTTGGAGCTAAGCGCCTTGTTGCCTTTCATCATTTATTCTGTTACCTCATGCAGGTCCTTCAGACGTCCAAGGAAATCAACCCCGAACCCATATCTTTCCAATATTTTCCACAATAGAGGTCGGTTGACTCTTGGATTGGATAGGCTTTCTTCAGATCAAGAAAACAAGCACTTTTTCTGCTCAGACTCTCTGTTTCTTACAACCTTC